TGGCTGAACCCAGCACAATATTCCAACTGTTCCATATATTTTCACTGTGAAGAATGTTCCAGCCTACACATGTCAAAGATACTACAGAAAATAAGTCACATTCCACAACACTAACCTGAAGTCTTCATCAACTCTGTTAAAACGAGCCTGTTCTTTGGGAAGAGCTCCACGACCGAATATTGGTTCCAAATAGACCCATTTCCTTTGAATTTGGTTTAAATTCTGCAGATACTCATCCAACTCAGCCAGCTTTTTTTCCCAGATGGACACTTTATCTTCAAAACCTTTGTAATACGGAGAGTCCTTGAGGGACTGTAAAAGACAGCGATGATCTCCAACTTGGTTGACTATGTCCTTCCAGTCTTTAATAAGCCTGATAGTCTTGCCTTGGCTATCTTCATAATCTGTTAATGTAAAGACAGCTCCAACTCCCCAGAGTTCAAGCTCACGTAATGCTTCTCTGATTGTGACTTCACCTTGGGCACGACAATTCAAATCCTATTTAAAAGCATAAATAAATTCCATTTGAAACTACAGACCTTGCAGTAAACTTCCCATTTAAAAATAGAATGTAATTTCTATTTACATAGAAATAAAAATATAAAAATGCATACAGAACCAGATATACTACATAAAATAAAATGTAGTACCTTTATTTGCTATTATTCATACCTTAAGTTCCGTTGCTTTTTCTATAATTGCATCCGTCACTTTTAGCAGATCTCCAAATAACAAACCCTCGAGTGTAGTACCTCTGGGAAGGCCCAGCAGACGAAAGAGATCCAGCCAGTGATCTGGAGAAAGATGTTCTCCTCTTACATATTTTAGGAGTGGAATTATCATCTACAGGAAAAACGCACATGTAAATCTCTCTAGTCTTTATGAAAATTTTATGTTTGATTACAGAGTGACCTGCTATTCAAACAAAAAAAAAAAATTACTTTCTTAAACTGAAGTATATTTTTTTCAATTCCTTGATTTAATGTTTAGCAGTATAACTGAGGAAAACTCATTGCTAAAAGTCTGTCTATGCACTCTGTACTGACCTTCCTGTTTACTGTAAGGAACTAAGAGCTTCTCAGAAGTAAGTGAAATGATCAAAACAGCATCAGAAAATATTTTGTAACCATTTAATTATAAGAACTAAGCATTAAGCTACAGAATGAAGTATATTACCTAGTAACACCAAAACATTTTTGGATTTATACCCCTTTTTGTAATTAGCATCTTACTTTATATTTGTCCACTTCTTTTTGCAACTTTACTGTCATTACAGTATGTTCTTCCATTTTCCTCATTTTGTCATGCCAGTTAAACAAAAATTCTTCAAACAGGTATGTTTTACTCCTGCATGAAAATCAAATATAAAAATGTCATACAACACTGTGCTACAACCACACATAGATGTCCATGAAAAATAAAGTAACAAAATCATACCTGAAAGTAATCCAGTCTTCTTTGGCTTTTTCCTGAAAACCTTGATAAAACTCTTCATACAATGCCCACACTTCTGCACAGCTCTTAATATCTTGACATACAATTTTTGACAGTGAGAAGTCAGGCTCTTCCAATTTAAAATGATGGCATTCTTCACTGAATAAAAAGATCATTGTAATATACATTACATTATTCTGTTACACATTTATGGTTTAAGAGATGGCATCATGTGGAAATAATCGAAATAATGCCCAGGGAAGTGGTTAAGTCACCGTCCCTGGAGCTATTTTAAAGGCATGTAGATGTGGTGCTTAGGGACATGGTTAAGTAGTGGACTTGGCCGTTATGCTAACAGTTGGACTTGATAATCTTAAAGGTCTTTTCCAACCTAAAAGATTCTATGATTATACTTATTTAAAAAAAGCCATTGGCTTCACTGAAGAACATTGGTGCCAGCAATGCCAGCAAAGACTCCTTCTTGAATAAAAATAACAAAGGAATATGGGGGATAACTCTCCTGCACAGCAATCTTCTCCCATATTCACAATAATTTTCCATAAACTTTAATTTCTTTCTCATTTATGAGAAAAATTAATTACTTTGTGACCCCAACACCAAAGCTTAAAAAAAATACTTTTTTTGATTGTTTCTTCCTGTTAGGTAGAAAGAATTTGCTAACTTTCTTTACTATCATACTTAAATGCCAAGCTAAGAATTTAAATACAAAACTTTGTCCATTCATGATTTGCAATAATGAGTTCACTGAAAATAGGCATCCAAGGCAAAAATCCTTTCCTTATGGACAACTGTCTATCAGATAGGACACTTAATCAAGAACTAGCAGAGGTGAGCTCCTGCTCACTTAAGTTACAAGAGGACTGAAGTAATAATTCCCCCATCTTGGGCCAATATCCCAAATCTTCTCTTATTGAGAATTTCAGAAGTCAGAATCAAGCCTTTAGAGTGCACACTCTCTTACATGAAAGCCTAAGAGGCCTCCTGAATATTTCATTGCAAAAAACTCTAGAAAAACTTATCTTGAGAAATTAATTTCATGTATAATCAACGAAAAGTACCCTGAAAAAATAATGAAAAATGTGTAATACAAATAAAATTAAATATATTATCTGTTGTGACAAAAATTAGTCAACATTTTCTGATATCTTGCTGCAAAAGATCCATACTTTAACGAATAAGGTAAGAGGGAAATAAACATACATACATAAGTTTTTCTTTCATGGTTTCCAGTTCATCAAATTCTCTTTTTTTTTCCTTTATGATCTGAGCACTTTTCTCAAGGACATCCTGATCACCTGTTTCAATGACATCATCACTTGGCTTTAGTTGATCCCAACGAGCTTTGAACTTCTCCAGGTCTTGAAGATATATATTAATATGTGAAATCACATTTCCTTTCATCATTTCAATCTGTAATGCAAGAGTTAAAATGAAATTCCTTCAATGGTTTGTAACTACAACTATGATCAAAATCAAAGTATCAACTTGAAAACTTGATCAACACTTGGTAAGTACAACTTGATCAAAGTTAAAACCTTGTCGTGTAGTACCCTAAGATGTAGTTCATCTTTATTAGTTCTTCTTAAAATGGGGCATTATTTTTTTTATGCTGCTATTTGAGACCTCTTTATTCAGCTTATGCTACCTATTTAGCCTGCATCTCATAGAGCATAGAAAAATTGCTGTATTTGTATGGCATATCGATATCTTCAGTAGAACTTCAAATGAGTTCAGCAGTTTGCGATCGCACTGGAAATACAGGGCTGCACATAGTTTATAGAATCATAGAACGGTTTGGATTGGAAGGGACCTTGAAGATCATCTAGTTCCAACCCCCCTGCCATGGGCAGGGACA